TGTGAGTTGATTTCTAATATATTAAACTAAAAACTCTAAGATCACTTTTTCAAATAATGCAATAAATGATTTGATGCAAGTAAAGATAAATTCATATAGAATTTAAACACAAAGTCTTACTGTGAAGGAAACTTTATTGTTTACCTTAAAAATTAGTAATGTTTTCTCAAAATATGGAACAATAGACACCATCAACTTCTTAACGAAGTCCCTTATTACCTCTGACCTAATTGCAACCGTGCTCCAACCACACCCCAAGGTTAAGGACCAGAATTTGAACAGACTTTGATCTGCTTTTTTAAGGATATATATACATATTGATACTATATAAATCATGAGCAGTTTATTTTAGGAAAAGGTTTATATTTCCATGTTAACTTTTTTTTACAGAACCATTCTTCGAGCAACCACTGTGAATATTTTGTTGTCATTTAAGTACAAGTTGTAAAACAAAGATATTGCGTAGTATGAAAAGGACGGACAAAAAAAAAATAAAAATTGCTAAATACTTTTAAAATTGAAAATACTTCATTATAAATATTATTTTCTAATTGTATTCACAAGTTGTGTATGTTATATATACACTGTTGGTTAGGGAATACAGCGTAGCATGTATCACTAGCTGTTCCTAACTATTGCTGTTAAGTGCCTGTTTTTCGTTTGGGCAAATGTTTATCAGAACAATTCCTGATATTTGCTGGAAGACCTTTTTTTTAAAATCAAAGATGAGATTTCAAAAAGAGAAAAAAAAATTACCCTGGTTCACAGTCAAGACATACGATTTTTATTTTGATCGAGTAACTTCCTTATTCTTGGTATGCACTTTCAAGCACGAAGAATATTTCTACTAAAAATATTTAATTCTTAATTCATAATGCCCTATATAAATCTAATTGTTCCTGTTTTATAAAGTAATATGATTAAAAGACATTGTACAAAACTCAAGCTTTAGCTTAAATATGACATATTGGCTAATGTTCAGTACATATTTGGAATACAGTATAAAACAAAATCGACAAATTCAGTAAAACAGAAGATTCAATGAAACCTTATATCAAGTCGCGCGGTTTAAATTCCCTTTTTTATTCCCGTATTTCTTTTTGTTAACTTCTATTGCCCATGCATCATATTTGTTTGATATACTATGTTTAATTACAAAAAGACATAATGTTTTTGCCAGACTTATAACAAAAGAAGAGATATTAACAATCTGGTGAGAATTATGAGGTATAAACGCAGAAAGATTACATTGTCATTATTTAAAAGCTTGAGAATGGTTAACAGGTAAAAGTATATCGAAATTTGTTAGCACATTTTAAGTTAAATTAAGTTCTCCGGTGAAACTGCACTTTCTATTTTCTAAAATTAATTTCTTGAATTCTTTCTGGAGCATTGAAGTAGCAAACTTTTTATTTTCATATCTCGTATAGTTATATCTTTAGAAATTTTGTCCATTATAACTTAATGCAAAAAGAAGTCCAACATTTCAAACGTTTAACTAAGCGGGCTTAAGAAAAATCGATGTTTGACCGCAAATCTAGAGTGAAATGTTGGACTGTTGCAATGATGAGCCCATAATGTCAAATAACGTCATAATATAAGTATATCATAATATTCAATTCGTTGACAATCGATAGAAATTAAGTGCGGATAGCCGAAATCTACATCAAGATATGTCAAAGAATAGTAATTTAGAAAAAAAAAGTTAATATTTACTTCCTGTGTTCTAGGACAAATTCATTTTTGTGAACCCCTAGAACAAAAACGACTGTTTGGTCTGTTTTGATCTGACAAAATGTATGTTGCCCTTGAACTCGGTCAATAAATATATATTGTTTTTTGTTTTCCACATTGACCAGTAGTTTATATATAAATCAATATATGTGTTAATACATTTTTGGGTTTACTAGCGAATCCAAGTTAAACGGGACTTTCATCAGATTTGATTACATTCAGTGTATTGGTAGTTCAACGGGGATCAAGTCGAAGATGTGAAAAATTTACAAAAAAAAAAATGATTGCTGTAAATACGAGTACTTAAAAGAATTGTACCATTTCTAAATAAAGTTTGTTGTGTTCACATCCATAAAGTAATGTTTGTTTTGTTTACTCTCAATATTCGATTAACAGAGAATAGCCTTTTTCATTTGATAAACCCATTTTCCTTAATTTTTCTGCAGTGTATAAGATGTAATGCAAACATTGACATTCTACTTGGCCAAGTGATATACATGAAAACTTGTTCAATACGATTCCGATAAGAAACAGATAACAATAACAGTCTCTAGTATAATTCATACAAAAAAAAATTAAAATTAAGAAATTTAAAACAATAGTTCCTAAAAAAGGCAAAATGCAAAATAATCAAAAGGCCAAGACGAAGAGTAGATGATCGAAATTAAATATATTGAAATAAAAAAAGAAATATACGAGGGGTGTTAGATAGAAAAGTTCGCGGACAAGTTCAATTGTGAGCGCGCTATTTCCACGAAACCGGTCAAACTTTCCAGATAGAATCTTTACCTTTTCTCCAATAAATATACAAGAGATGGTTGCTCTCCGGTGATTATTAAAAAATATACAGCTTTTTTATTTTGATAAAACTTTCTTCACGGAGCATGCTACATTTTGGCACGTTTACATCACAAAGACTCTTTATTAAAATTTAAAATTGCACAATTGTAGCGCAAAAAGTTTTATGATATTTTACCTGCCACTAAAGTATTTATGAAACGTCACTTGGAGAAATTTTGAACTAAATTGGAGGATATATGACTGTTTTATAGCCGTTTGTAAATGATCATTGCGTAAAAACACAGCCAAAAATCGGAACGTCATTGAGCGTCATGGAGCACTGCGCTGCGTAAAAATTATGTATGCAGACTGGAAAATGTCTAAAAAGAGATTAAAATGTTCAAGATGCTGCCGCGAATTTCCTAACCTAAAGTTAACAAGTTTTTCAAATGGTTGTAGCTTCATAAGAATGGTAGGAATGACATTTTGAAAGATTAACTCCAGCGATACTTCAATACCCCCGTATCGCATGGACGTTGCGTTGCGCCTATATGGTTTTGCATAGTTTCCATACCTGATCGATTAACTTATTAACTGCATAAACTCTTTTAAAGATCTCAATAATATCCGAATCAGAACAAAAGACATTATAGAAGAAAAGTAACATGTCTTGATATAGATATTCAATTTTAAAATAGAAAAAAAGATAAGAAAAAACCAAAGATTTATAGAACTGCGACAAAGCATAACGGGTTGAAATCTGGTTGTTACGTCGCCTTACGTCAAGTGATTGCTCCGTGAATCCCATAACCTCATAGTAAAAATCGTTGTAAATTTTCAAAATTTATTATATGGACCTGATTTTTTACAATAAACAAAATGTAGGAATTTATTCAGACATAGGTCATACTTCACAGTACACAATAGATTTTCCGTAATTCAATGTGTCCGCGTACTTTTCTAACAACCCTCGTAAATTAGGACTTATGTTGGACCACCTTTTGTATTAAGACAGTCAAAAAAGAAGGCTATAAACACTTTTCATGTCAGAAAAAATGCATTGTATATAATGAAACTGATGGAGATAACGTACATTATTACATGATTGAATAATTTCCATCTCTCTGATTGGCTGAGATCCATTTATGTAAGGAAAACACCACGTTGTATTGACCTGCACGTGACGTTCCAGGTGAATACAAGGATTTATTTCCTCTATATTGATCTAAAAATAGATCGGGTAATTCCAAATTGATACAAATTGTTTTGGAAAGCTATTTAAACGACAGTCGGACTATGACTTTTTTTTCATGTGAACAAAACATAAGCGAATATATATTTGCGGGTGAGGGTGGTAAGAGGGGATTCAGGGACCCCCTGCAACACTTTTACTGAACAACAATTTTCACTTTTTGGCAGTCAATTTTCCCTGATAATTCCCTGATAATACTCCTTGCTTTCAAAATATATCCTATAAAAAAGACTGACATTATATTTTTTTCATGGCAATTAAAAGTGATAAAAAAAACATTTCAAGTTGATTTGACTGTCAAGGTTTATTTACATTTCAAGTCTGCTTCTCTCTTGTATTTGGCTAGGACTTAATTAAATGCAAACAAGTAATAAGCTGTCTCATTTTATCAGTGAATCATATAATAAAACAATTATTGCTGTTTTTTCCGGCTTGGTGAATATTATACTCCTCAGATGGCTAAATCATTGTATTGACCCTAAAAAACAGCAATAATTGTATAGTATTCAAGAACAAAATTCAAAAATTCAGATGCTGGGTTAATATAAAACAGACAACTTAGCAATATGTTTCATTGACTAACGTTGGGTTAATCTAAAAATGCTCTTTTCAAATATTTGTCGTTTTCCCCAGGTGATTTTTGTCAAATTAAAAAAAAAAAAAAAAAAAAAAAACTTCAACCATATCAAATATGAACTTAATTAGTCACGGTACTTTACTTTAACCACATTACACATTACATGATTATTTATACATGATTTTTTATTTATTGTACAAATGTGTTTATTATCACAAACTGCTGATTCTGGAACTACATAAAACTGCATGGTACATTGCATCACAAATGATCATGTTGTAGCAATTTAAAGTATGCAAGAATGTTGAACTCTCAGAATGTTATTTTGAATTTCAATTGTTTAAAAGGATAGTCAATGTGAGTCATTTATTCATATAAACTATTCAATAATAAAGATACAGACATCAATAAGACACAAAGTTTTATGCAAATGATACTGACTTCACTTTATACATAATCAGATTATCTTTTATGTAGTTATGTACAGACAATATGATGCTATAATAATCTTAAGAGATATTTTATTTTCTTTATATATAAATGAATTGACAACAACTATAGTATTGAAAATGTAATAGCATTTGACATACATGATGATTTTATTCAATTCTGTATTTCATGTGTCAAACTAATCCAAATGCTAAAAAAATATGTTTCCTAGTTCAAATGTTTCAACATAAAATCTAAGATGTCCTCTTTCCCACCTATCATTGCAATTTCAATAGCCTTATCTTTCTCAGCGCCATGTTCTAAAAGATATTCAACAACAGGAAGATGTCCTTCCTCCACGGCACAACACAGTGGACTGTCATTAGAGAAACTCAGCAAATTAACCTCTGCCCCATGCTCTACTAGATATTTAACAATACCAACATGACCTTGACCAGAAGCACAATGGAGTGGAGGATCACAAATGTCATTGACTTTGTTAACATCCATCTTGTCAATAAGAAATTCTACAACATCTAAATGACCGCCTTTACTAGCGTACGATAGACAACTAGCACCGACATTAACATCAGCATTATTTTGTAGCAGATACTTCACAATCTCCAGATGACCGGATTGTGCCGCGTAGCACAGTGAAGATGCTCCGTTACCGTCACATAGATTGACGTCAGCACGAAGCTTGATTAACTCTTCCACAATGTCCAGATAACCCTTACTTGAAGCACAGCACAAAGGGGATTTGTTTACGTAACCAGCGGAAGATAAACAACTAGCACCTATATTGATATCAGCACCATTTTGTAATAGAAACTTCAAAATTTCCAAATGACCAGATATTGATGCGTGGAATAATGGAGTATGTCCGTATATATCACACAGATTGACGTTAGCACTATGTTCTACAAGATATTCAACAATACCAAGATGACCTGAACTGGCAGCAGAATGAAGTGCAGGATCACAATTGTCATTAACTTGATTGATATCCACCTTATCGATTAGATACTCAACAGCACTACTTTTACCATTTTCACAGGCGACAGATAGACACTTAAAATCAATAAGCAAATTATGATCACTCTCAATTAAAAGTTTAAGAATATCTAGATTGTCTAGAACCATTTCAGAAAACAGTGAAAACAGCTCATTTACGTTCACATAATTGATATCAGCACCGTTTGTAATAAGAAGTTTCACAAGACGTGCATTTCCTATTAACATTGCTGCATTAAGAGGGGAATTCTCATCTGCCGTACACAAATTAACGTCTGCGCCTTCTTTGATTAATATCTCGGCTATGTCGTATCGGCCATACATACAAGAAAAAAGCAGGCATGAATAAAATTCCTCATTTAACAAATTGATATTTGCTCCTTCTTTAAGCAGGAATTTAACAACATCAGTACAGCCAACCATAGAAGCAGTCATTAACGGCGAACAACTCTGATCATCAATTTTATTAATGCACTCATGTTTCACGCAACTCAATATCAATTTGACCATATCCAAACTGCGGCTAGAACACGCTAGACTTAAACAAGAGGACTGTGATTCTAAATTGTTACCAAATATTACTTCTAGACTGTCCTGAGCATTTTTATCAGTGAGACAAACCTTTCTTTCAACGAGTTGACTTTCACCTCTGACAATTTCTATGAGGCCAGAGAGTAAACCAACGTGGTTATAGGCAATAATCCCGTCCAAAAACCAAAGACTAAAGTCTATTGCAATATACCTTTTTGTTTCCAAAAAGATGTCAATGTTGTGGTTTATTTGATGAACAAGTTTCTTCGTTTTTTTATTTAAAAGTTCATTAGTCTCGACTTCAAACCAAAGACTAAAGTCTATTGCAATATACCTTTTTGTTTCCAAAAAGATGTCAATGTTTTGGTTTATTTGATGAACAAGTTTCTTCGTTTTTTTATTTAAAAGTTCATTAGTCTCGACTTCAAAAAACAACTGTTTAAAATCATCATGACTGAAATTTTTCAAAGTTTTACAAAATACCGAAACAAATGCTTCGTTCTGTGAAAATTGCCCATTTCTACTGAACACTTCATAGAGATGGAATCGCTTTATGTCACAAATGATACGGTCAACCAACACAGGAAAGTGATCTACACCGACAGGAATAAGATTTTCACCACATATTGATCCCTCCTCAACAAATGTTAAAAGGTTGTAAATAGAGCTTGAGGTACAATGTTCAATGAAAAAGTTTTGAAAGCGTCTTCCAAAGTGAACTGCAACGATTTCAAACAAACTGTCGTGAATTAAAGAATAGTTCCCCTCTATGTCATGCGTCAGATAAGATCCCCTCAATACCTGCATTGCATGTACAAGCTCTGAATTAGATGTTGACGTGTTTAATCTGCAACATTCATAGATTTCTTTCAGACATTTCCTATCCAAAGATTTCGGAGAGACACAATTATCTTTGATGACACAGTACACCAAGCCTGCATAATGTATTTTGTTTATCTGTAACATTTTATCAAGTTCTAAAAATATACACTGGTAGGGATGCAGAAAGAAATGTTCACCCTCAGATTGATATTTTTGAGAAGACGAAAATAATCGACATAACAATGGAAACATTGGCAATTTTCTAAGTAACTTTAAATCTTCAAAGTATTCTTTCTGTAAGTAATTTGCTAGCATACTTTTTATGCTTTCATCATTGAGCTCATTTTCTTCGTCATCTAAATCGATGACATGATTTATATCTGTAACAAAACTATTTAAAGATTTGGACTCCTTAAACACAACAGACCTGCAACTAATGAGTAGTTTAGATCCCGACTCTAATAAACTTAGAACGTTTTCAGAATGTCTGCTTAGATTGTTATATAAATTCATTTCTAGACCATATACACCTAGCACATCATCTATAATGAATAATTGTTTGAAATGCAGTTTTCCATAAAGGCTGATCTCTTCAATTGATGAAACTGGAATAATCTCGTATCCCTCCTGTTCAAGCTCCAGAGCAATGTGGCGAATGAGGAACGTTTTACCTCGACCACCACTGCCAGTCACTGTCACGAAAGGCAAGGACTTGAGTTTATCACGAACTGACTGATAAGCAGGAACTTTCACAAAAAGTTTGTCCTCTTCTTTCCACTTTCGTACTTTTTTCTGAAGTTGTTCTGGGATAGAAACAAAAAAACCTTTCCTTTTTAAATGTTTCTGTGTTAATAACAAATTTATCAAGCGATTGCAAAATGATATCTACATTATATCTTTGACAGATTTATTTGCGATAACAGTTTCTTTTGAACGCTTTTTTTTTACATACTTTTGATGATTTAGAATGGAATCAACACACTCATCTCCCATGCACCCTCTCAAACGCGGACTCACCCTCTCAAACACACGCAAACACCCCTGACAAATCCCACCCACCCCCCACAAACACATACTCACACAGTGCATGATTGCATTCAAATTTAGTTAATAACCTTTGCTATATAAATGGAAATTACATGTACGTAACTTAGCAGCTATTAAAGCACGATGTCGCAAACTAAAATTGAAAATAAAGGATTTTTTTCTGTTCGATTTAAAAACTTAATACTTACTACTGAACCATACTTATGGTTTAAGAGAATAGTACCTTTACCTCTTATGTTCTGTGGGATGTGATCCTCTACGCGTTTTTCTACGTATTGAAGTCTTTTTGTCAATACTGTCAGAGTTCGTTTAACAGAGGACCGTGCTGAGTGATCTAGATCTGTGTTTTGTAGAGAATCTATCTCTCCGTCTAGTAGACCTCCCGCAAGTCTTTGTATAATCTTAAACCAGGAATAAAAACATAACAGTCTTCATTTTATTTGGTGTCATCGTATTTTCCGCCTATAACTCTAAAACCACTAAACAACAAAAGTTTAAAAAATCAATGTGTGATAAAGCTAGATTTTTAAAATGATCACGCTAAATAGAAATCTAGGTTTGTGATGATATATATTTTTCTCTCGTTCTGGACATAGTGCCTCTGGAAACAATATGTACCGATGGACGACAATATATATAGTAAGGCTAAAACATATTGTTGTCAACAACACTTCTAACATTTGTTATACTTACTAATATCAAAAACAAATGATGCGCCGCATTCACTCATCCCCGTACTGAAATTTAAGGATTCACTGCCCCAGTGAAAACAGGAGTAGACCCATGATTCGTTATATCTATATGGAAGGATCCTCAGGTAGTCTAATTTCAAATCATGACCCCACCCCCCACCCCACCCCGACTTAATGTGTGACCATGATGAAGGATCAGAGTGTTAGACAGAAAGATATAGAAATATTCTTTTAAAAAGTTTTTTCTAAAAACATTGAATCAATGATTACTCAAAATTTGCAAGGCAACATGTACTAATAAACAGCAGAAAGGATAGATAAACATTAATGCCGGCGATGATACAACAAAACGACAAATGTAACGTCACAATCACGCTGCTTGAAATAGCAAGCAAAGCGCGTCAGCGTGATTTTCATCTACATGTAATTACATTCATGCATAAAACTACCAAAACAAACACTGACGAAAAAATCAAGCAAAAATATTTGTGGAACGATAATACGTGCATTTTGACGCCAATGTCAAGATGTACAAAACGACAATCTATACCGTCACAAGATTCATTCATGCGCCTCGGCAAATAAATAGCGTTTTCTGAAATGTTTCCTTACCAGATTCAAATTTCATTGTCAATCTCCCTTAAATATGTACAAATTTTAGAAGAATGAAAAAATGTAAGTATAATACATTGAAATAAGGTACATCAACATTTTCACAGTGAACATCACAGAATTTGAATTACAATGTGTTGATTCTTTGCTGTATAGATTAAAGACGTTTATATACAAATCAAGATAAGGGCAGTGACAGTGTAGATCGGGGAAGTTTGAAATCAATGTAATATATATGGTATATTTTCAAAGTGAATGCCACATAATTTTTGTATAATATGGAATCTTTTCAAAGTGTAGGGTACAGGTAAAAATAGTGTTTTCGTGTTGACGGCGAGATGTCTTTAAATTACGTGGACAGAATCTCTGCTGTAAGAATTGTCATATAAGCTTTGAAAAATGTATGTTAATACGAGGGCTGTTCAATAAATAGTGTCCTTAACTTTACGATCAACAATACAGATATACGACATTAAGCTTGACTTTTTGCATTATTGAATCTTTAATGAATTTATTTGACCACTTTATGGAACCACTTTTTATCACATAGTTTCATTGTGAGAAGCTGAAAAACAAAGGCTATTTGAGATACTGCATTGAAAATAAATGGTAAAGAATCAGTACACTAGAGTGAAATTAGACGCTGTATTCAAGCTGCTGTAAAGGTGGATTTCAATGATGAAAAATTATATCATGGGCATCATAAATGGGAACCATCCTTGCCAACAAATTTACAACAACTAATGTACTGATTGCGAAATTTTAACAAATAATCACTCATGATTGACTTTCAGACACATAGACATCATTTCGGTAGTCGTTCAAACTGTTTTAAGGAAACCTTTATACAGTAAAAAAGCTTAGAAGGTAACCCCATGTTTTGAAAAATGAGTGAAACGACATCGTGTAAGAATATCTAAATAATTATTTTATATCATTTAGATTATTTTCATCATTATTTTTAATTATCATTAATTGTAGTTATCCACGTTGAAATTCAAACAGATAATGAGACTCGAGTCTATTGCTTAAAACCCTCGAAACAAAATTTACAGAAGGAAGTACTTGACAAAAACAGGAAAGGTCTGAGAAGAGCAAAGAATTGCAAGTGCACCAAGACTGATGTATATGCAATTTTTTTAAAATCTTAATGGTCATGTTGTTCAAATTCGTCTTTGGGGAGGCAGTTTAATTTCTGGATGAGTCTTGAAAGCATATATTTTGCAAAAACAAAATCGAAGGTTAATAAGAGGAAGAAACCAGAGTCAGAAATCCACTACATTAAATTTCTTCGTGATAACGTCCAAACCAACAAACTCTGAAAAAGGAGTGGAGTTTTTGGGATAAACAGAAAGTTAATGTTTTTCACATAACAATATTCGCCAGATCTTTTGTCTTTTGACTTGATTCATTTTCCAAACTTGAAAAAACACCTTCAGAAGGAACAAATGGTTCCAGGAAATCATAAGATCTGCCATTTTCCAGTATACTAAGGGTCATACCCAAAAATGAATTCTAAAACAATCAGAAATAAGATTAAAAAATATTACGGACATGTTTTTTTAAAAAAAATATTAAGTTAAATCATTAAGACTAAAGCATTGAAAAGCGTCTTTTACTTCTTTTTGAGCACCAAGGACATTATTTATTGAACAGCCATCGTAAATTGAAATCCCCTCTCTCTATATATTTGTTTACAATTTGATCTGATAGGATTCACAATTTTTTTTATAATTCATATTTATTTCTATCCTCCTGTCAAAATTCATGTCGTTTGTAAAGTTTTCTTTTGTGGTTAGCACAAGCCATTCTTCCTGAACATCAAATTACTTAAACCATTTCTAAAAATTGTATTATGATTAGTTTTTTTAACTTTATAATGTTATTGAAGAGGGCAGAGAATTTCCAATAAAATGTTTATAAAAGCTTTATGTCCTTAATGCACTCCGTAAATGTAAGCTTGACAAGATAAAAACATGCCAGTACCTCCTTCAATTCTTTCCATTTCTTTACAAATTCGGTATGGGTAATTGACTGAGGACCATGACAAAGTGAGTTTCGACAGATCCGGACTCATTCCAGGTCGTCAGCAGGTTCTATATCTGTGTCATCCGGAGTTCCTCCCCAATCTTTTCTTGGTTTTCTAACTTTTGTCGTGTTTCTTATTAATTTGTACATCAATGATATGTCAAAAGTTGTCGATGTTACTGTTCCGTAACCTGCAAAGTTGTGGCTAATTAGCAAAGATGTGACTCATTCTTTGTTCCTTAACGTGTATAGAATTTAGAGTCGAGATAGCTAGAAAATTTGCTAATAAACATTTTCTATTTCTAGAGAAAAAAGTATAAATGTGATTTCTTTCTAAACATGATTAAATAAAGGCCATAAATGATTTATCACCATTTCTGTTATTTGAATTTTTTTAAAGCACAAATTAAACATTATGTGTTCAATGTTCGCTCATAAACAAACAGAACCACGAAACCACACTTGTTAAATCACTGTGATGGTATAAATTATGAAGAAAAAAAGCCCTCAATGTTCTTAGACTACAAATTCTCACCTGGAAATAAATTCAATATCTGTTCATCGTTGCAAATCTTTCTTAGTTTCTTTTCATGCCTTTTTAAATGATTCTCCAGTTGAATCGGCGGAATAATAGTATCAAACCACATTCTCACTGCCTTTTCAGCGATACCAATACCAAGAAAATACCGAAGACAATTGTCTTCTTCTTTTGAAACTAATGACTCATCCTCTATACAAACACAAGAACAAAATTAAGAGTGTCATTTTCATTGTTGGGGAAATTAATGAGAAATCGTTATATGTGTAAAGTGAATATTTTAATTAAATTCATAAACAAGCATGACACTATATAGATGAATTCATAAAAATGGTATTATGAATTTGAGTAAAATATTTCGAAAACTGATAAAGGACAATATAGGGTAACAGCCAAATCTGGCCCCTTATTTGATGTACAAATCAGAACACTGGTAAAAATGTGATAGTTTGTAGTTAATAAGTTAAAATGATGCTTACTTTAAAACATGCACTAATCTAGATTCAAAGCACACATGGAGGCCATGCACTAAAGGGTGCAGAAGTAGGACATTTTTTTCAGAAATTCTTCAATTCTAATGAAATTCAATCATATTGAGATGCTTTTCTCTTCGGAAAACATAGAGCACAAGCTTGCCTATCTGAGATTTTTATACATAAACTGCAATTGATATTATTGTATAATATATATAAAGTGTGTGCTCTATGTTTTCCGAAACAAAAGGTGCTGTTAAATCAATGAAAATTTGTCCTTTAATGAGAAGTTTTATATCAATGTTCGGTATCATAAAGATTCATTTTTCTTTATCATTTGAACTATACACACCGGTTTCGTTCTCTGAGTTTTCTGATTGTGAATTTTCTGACTCAGGGGAGTTGGTGCCAGAATCCGACTGTGTAGAATCTACATCTACCCCTGTATCTGTATCGTGCTGCAATGAATCTCTGTCTGACATTATTGGTTTGTATATCTACCACAGTTTACATCCTACAAAAAATTCCATTCTTTTAAACAAAACATTATAAAAAGTAATAACTTTAAAAGACTAATTGGTAAGAAGATTGGTAAGAATTGGTAAGAAGTTAAGATACTGACATTTGAAATCTAGCATCATTTTAATGGATTATGTGAAGATAACAAACAAAACAATTCGTGTTCTAAAGTCCATAAATATTAAAAAATAGGAGCGGGAAATACATTGACTTTCAAAACATTATGATAAACATATTTGTGAGCGGTGTAACATTCAAATAATATACCTCAAATGTAGGACAAAGTTACCAAGATATAGATCTGTAAACCATTCCAAGCTTCTCACTTCCAATTAAAAAAAACTACTCAATGATCGGCAACAGAAACTAAATATCAATTTCTGGTTAAATGTTTTTTAAACAGACAATCGTTGACATTACAACAACCAAATGTTGTATTTTAATCACATAGGCGTCGGAAGCAAATTGAAAGTGGGGGAGACTAATCCAACAAAAAATAGGTAAATCCAAATTTTTAATGCCTATATAATGTCTATTTTAGCCAAAAAAAAAGTCGGGGGGGGGGGGCTTATCCGTCTCACACGAACCTCCCTGGTTCCGACGACTATATGTATTACAACACATAATACTTTATCAAACTGGCAGAAACCGTTCACGGTAGCCTAGTGGTAGAGGGTTCGCTTCGTGATCGGGAGACCCGGGTTCGATTCTCGTTCCCGGCGCCGCGTCAAACCTAAGACGTAAAAATGGGTAGAGACTGTTCCTTCGCCAAGCACTAGGCATCAGAAGTTAAAGTCACAGGTCTTTCGGATATGACCTTAAAACGTAGGTCCTGTGTCACGGTAGGCGCTGGCATGATAAAGAACCCTCACTGCTCAATGGCCCTGAGTTCCGAGCATTGGTCTAAATTTGAAGCCCTTCACCGGTAAACGGTGACTTCTCCATATGAGTGAAAAATCCTCGAGAGGGACGTTAAACAATTTACAATCAATCAATCAAACTGGCAGAAACTTAAATCCATTTTAAATCTTATGTACCTTAAAACACAGTACATTTTAAAGGATATTAGAGGGCAGTGCGTATTTTTATAAAATCAGCTTAATTGACAGCTCTTTCCTCTCCTTGTGTGATTTTAGGGATCAAATTTCGGCATTTCAACACAAAAGTAAATTCTGATCCAGGTCACAGACATAAAACAAACATATGAATAAGAGATAATATCGGACTGACATTTTTAATTATGTTTTCTTTGTTTTCCAAATATGATGTATACCGTAGATTGAACAGAGATCTGTCATACTGAATACAAATTGGCCGACATGCAAATTAGCAAAAACAGTTTATTTTTTCATATGTAATGAGTATATTTGAGTATTTGAGCTATCGAGTTAAAAGAATCAAATAACTTAATTAATCAGAGACAGATTAAAAAAAATCTTTTACCGAGGTTAAACGAGGCGGACCATTTTTAAATTCAAAACGGATATGTTTAGAAAGACCCCGGTGAAATATAACCTCATAAATCATTGACCATGAAAAGCCACCGTTTCAATTTTTTAAAATACAATCCAAAATAAAAATTATCAACAATTTACTTACCATTAGAGTTTTGAAATCTTTTAAGAATACTTTTCTGACCTCTATTGTATGGAAAATAAAACAAAAGCTGATATTAATATTTCTACCTTCCTGGTTACCCGAAACTACTTGTGAGCTGACGTCTTAGACCCAGATACTGTATATACGAAAGCCCAGAAGGCTCATTCGAAATACGAGATTCGAAATTCGAGATTCGAAATTCGAGTTTCGAGATTCAAGATCCAAATTAACCAATCAAAAAACAGGTTCAATTTTGATTACTCCCCTTTATTATGTTTTACTATCAAGAAATCGTTGAATTTATTCATATCTAATGGGTCATTTGCTTAAATGATAATACAAGAAAAAAAGATATATGTATTAAAACGAAATAAAAAGGAATTTTAGGTTACATTATAGAAAATATATATAAATTCTTATTTTTCCTAATGAAACAAAACAATAGATACGTAAATAGAATATTATATGGTCTTATCGTTGAATTGCGCAATTCTTAAATCGACATTTTTTCTAGAAAGAACATTGATGAGGGAGATACTATTTATATGAAATAGTAATGAGGGTAAATTTCTTTACATTGTGCCCCCCCCCCCCCCCCCATAATTTTATAATTTTGCCAATATATATAAAAATACTACAGAAATCATAACTACTATATGCTTGTGCCCCTCAAGTTTGTGCCCCCTCAATAAAAAACATCTGATGACTTTTTTTGCTTTGTTTTTGTTTGTCAAGAAATTTTTGATAGTTGAAATCTGAAAATGTATGGCTGACCCCCCCCCTCCCCCCAATGAAATGAGCATTATGGTTTTACTAGTATATTTGAGTCTTTGACCAAGTCGGGCGAGACCCGAGCGGTTTCCTTTTAAATAATTATCGAATATATATTTATTGTATCTATGCATTGCAAGATATCGCAAGATTGACAATGAATGTTGATAACAACACATTTGCCCCCCCCCCCTTCCCACTTGGCCATTCCCGTAATATTTTTCCGATATAATATACTATATAAAAAACAGTAACTTTATGCTTATATCCATTCAAAAATAACTTCCAATTACCATGATAACCCCTATTTTTCGAGATTGGGGTGGGGATAGGGGGATTAACAATGATTTTTTTTTAATTTATTATTCCCAGTGGGTCATTATCTTTATTAAGCATGCATGTTTCAGCCATCCGTATTTAAGAGGCTGTTTATTGGTTTCATAAACTCGGTCACTGGCCACTTTCTAATACCGTGTCACAAACACAGTCTGCTTTGAAACACGTAGTACTTATTATTACAGAGACGACGCATCGATTTTGAAAGTGGGGT